AGATAGCCTCACCTTCCTTCCATGAGCAGGTGGTGGGTTTTAAGTGCCACTGTTAGCAGCCCAGTGCCCAACTCACAGTGCCACCAGGATGCCAAAGAAGACGGATTACTGAAAAGACAGGAAAGAAAGAAGGAACCATACTGGATTTCAGAAGAGACTAACTTGGCTCTAAAATGAAGAGAAGGTAAAGCAACTAGAAGAAATAAGGAAGGGAGCTAAAGACAATATTCAAAGGGCAGCTCAAGAAGACACAGTATTTAATGAAATATGCAAAGACCCAGAGTTAGAAAACCAAAGGAGACCAAGCGTGGCATTTCTCAAGCTAACAGCTGAAGACAAATTCCAGCCTCGAGTTAAAATCTTGATGGATTCTGCAGGCAAAATAATGGAACAATTGAAAAAAATTATTATACTAAAAAGAATTGGTAGATGTTCAACCATTTCAGAAAGTAGTAACCTATGACCTAGAACCACTGGTGTGGAAGGAAAAAGTTCAAGCTGCACTGGATTCCCACGGTAACCCGATTGCAGGTTTCTGAGACTGCAAGTCTGCATGGGAGCAAGAGCCTTATGTTTCTCCCAACTGCTGACCTTACTGTTAGTAGCCAATGTGTGAGCCACAGTACTGACATTTCTGAACACTAAAATGCAACTCGATAAGATACCTACATATACCCGTTCTGACTCACCTACAAATTGGACTTAACATTTTGTCACCCTAAGGAACTAATGTCGTTGTGATCGGGGACTGCCTCAGATCCATCTCTTGAACAGTTCATATTTTGAAGGTGAGGAACCCAGGTTGCTCTGTGACCCTTACAGATCTAATCAGTGGTGTGGTTTCCCCACAGGACCGCTGAGGAGATGAGTCAGCCAGGACCCTCCGGAGATGGCGATGTGGCTACAGCACTGCATCGCCTTAGTCTGCGTCGACAGAACTACTTAAGTGAGAAGCGGTTCTTTGCTCAAGAATGGGAGCGGAAGATCCAGGTTCTAGCCGACCAAAAAGAAGTTGGTAGTGGTGGCACCACCCCCACCGAGAGCATCGCTACTCTCTGTACCGACCGCTCGGAGATAACGGACCTCAGCAGTGCCAGTTGCCTTCGGGGGTTTATGCCAGAAAAGCTGCAAATCGTCAAGCCCCTGGAAGGTGAGAGAGCCATAAGCGGAGCAGCCCTTTCCCAGCCATGTGTTGCAGTGGACTCTCCTGCCTCTTGAGGGAGACCTTTCTCTCTGCAGTCTCGGGGAGGGGCAGTGCTGTCGTTTGTGGGACGTGAGTGAGTGAAGAGGGGGCCTTTCTGGCTGACATGTGGTGTCCCTTACACTAATGTGAGCGAGTAAGTCTCCTTGTTCTTTGTTAAGGAGTATCATTGACAGCCATTTTCATGGTAAGATAAATGGGGCGTGATAAATAAAAATGATATAATCCTCCATCTGAACCCACCTTTTGAAACAAACTTATTTGCCCACAAAATGTAATTTAGAGACGTATGTACTTGGATTTTTCTTTTTCCCCCAGTCGATTAACACTTTGGCAAGTTCCCAAGACAGAACCGAAATTTAATATAAATATTTTTTTGTTTTCTGAAGCATTAACAATCTTCAGATGATTCTCTGCAGATGATTACCTTCAGATGATTACCTTCACAGTTGTACTGTAGACAAAATCATTATAACCCTGCCCTGAGATGAATTTCCACTCCTGGGAACCCTATCGAAGGGTCCGAACTGCCCACCAGGGTTTCCAAGCTGAACTCCTTCAGCAGCAGACTCCCACATCTTCTGCAGTGCAGCTGAAGGATGCCAACTGCCAACCTTTCCGTTAGCGACTGTGCACTGAGCCACCAGGGCTCCCGAGGGGGCCTGTAAGAGCCCTAAAACTCCAGTGATCACCAGCTTAGTTTATTGACTCACGGTCCGTGCAGGCATTTGCCGCAGTGCACGTGTGCAGGATGAAAGGACTCCCGTGACGGGGTGTAAAGATTTTGCATCTGGTGCCCATGCTCAGGGTAACCCTTCGTCAGGGTTCCGGGGTACAGCCTCCTTTTCTCACCTCCTCATCATCCCCGAGGAGCTGGGGAGGAGAATTTTGCTCCAGATGGGGAGGTAATAACTACCAAAAATCTGAGATGCCTTTCGGCCTGGGAGCCTGGTTTTCGATTTCAGAGTTCAGAGGCATAGTCCCCGCCAGAGGAGTCTTGATGTTTGGCACAGCGCGTAAATACCACGCCCGTTCTGAGGAACACAGCTGCTCTTGCAACATTGCCTCACTCGGCTTCATCCTTAGGCTGGGTGTTTTGCTGTTTTGTTGTTTGGCTATTTCATCGTTTGCCAGTTCAACAGTTTCTGCATGTATTATTCAGTGACATTAATGATACTCTTCAAATTGCTCTAGCTGTCCTTTGTAATGCTAACTTTAGAAATTGATTATTCTTCCTACCTGTAGTAATCTTGTCAGTCTTCCAGTCTCCCACAGGGCACCTTCATTTACCAAAATAGTAAGCCCAAAGAACTAATTATTATCATTATTACCATTTCACATGTACTGTTCACTTCTGTTCAAAGTTTAAGACTTGTGGGTGATGTGAGGCACACCTTTTGTTTTCTTGCACACTCAGGATCACAAACTCTACACCATTGGCAGCAGCTTGCTCAACCAAACTTGGGAACCATTCTTGACCCACGACCAGGTGTCATCACTAAAGGCTTTACCCAGTTGCCCAAGGACACCGCCGTCTATCACCTCTCAGATTTGGAAGAGGATGAAGAAGAGGGAATCACTTTGCAAGTTCAGCCCCCTCTTCAAGTGGAGCAGAAAGCTTCAATGTCTGAGCCCGTGACAGGGATCTTCCTCCCACCCATGACTTCAGCAGGTGAGCCGGGTACAGGTTGGCTTTAGCCGAGTAGCGAGTGGTACTTTGCATTCTGACTTACTGTGTGGTCAGCTGGTTAGCTCTGCACAAAGCTCACTGCGACGTCGTACTTAATCTTGGAGATCGAAGATAGTGGAAAAACAGCACTAGCTATGAGTGGCCGTTCTAATCGTCTTCTCTCTGCTTCAGGAAGCCCTGCACAGACAGACAGGAATGAGAGTCCACCGGTGGTTCTCAAACGAAGGTCATTGAGAATTCCAGAGTCTTACCTGTGAGGGTTATAGCTACTGATATCTACCATTCTAGAAACCAAGCTTGATAAAGTTTTAAAACACTAATTCATTTAAAAATAATAGTTATGTAACACAACTAACATGTTTTGTGAAAGTGACTTTATTAAATTGGCGGGCTGCCTCATGCTCTGGCTCCTGGTGCCGCCTCCGCCGCTCCTCTGGCGCTCTTCTGGTGCCACGGCGCCTCCTGGATCAAGGCGGTTGAACACTCAGGGACCTTGGGTCTCAGGGACAGGTCTCAGTCTCGGACCTTCTCTTTGGCTGCTGGTCGTCCGATTCCCTCCGACTGCCTCTGAGATGGCTCATTTTATACCCAGTGGGGTGGCAGTCACAGTGAACCTGTTAATCACTCACAGCTGAGTCCTGGTAGTGTCTGCCCTGCCTTCTCTTACCCAGACACACCAGGAAAGAGTTGTTTGGTGGGAGTTAGAGAGATTCTAACTAGAAGAGCCACATTAAATAATGTATTCCACTATGCACCTATCGAACTTTTCATACTTTATTACATTACACCAGACCCAGTGGTCTAACTTAATATTTTGAATGTATCTTTTATCCACCTGTGGTTTCATAACACAATGCATTGATCCTTTGGAAAGCATTTGTTATGCAGATTTCCTAAATGAAATATATTATCTAATATATTAAAACCACATGCATTAACATCACCACCCAGCTTTTCAGAAAAGCCTTTAAGTACTAAGAAGCTTTCAAACTTAAACATCAGTTATAGGCCGATTATATCAGCTGACTGGAAGCCCACCAAATGCCCCGTTCTGCTGAGTAGTCCTCGCTGTTTATTCTTTCAAGTGAAACTATACGTCCCATAAAAACATTAGTCAGACAATGACAGAAGTGCCTTTCTTTTTTGGAACAATTTAGCTCAACACTGAGCAGAAGTGTACGCCCCATTGCATCACACAGACTATCGAAAACATAAATAATTTTGACTGCGTTCTCAAACACATTCTTAGGTGAATGTGGATTGTTTTCCTCCTTTCTTACTTGTGAGTCCATATGAGTCCAGACGCTCTACAGCTGGTATCGTCTTGACTTGTTTTAAGAAGCCAGCTGTCCACTGTTGCCTTTCGCACCATCATTACAAACGTGGCCTCATTGCTGGCAAAGTCATTTTGACTTTGTCGTTTCCCACGGGGCCTGCAGACCACGCCTGGAGAACCACTGCATCGGTAGTGTGGCTCGGTGATGGTGGCTAGATGTTTTGGTGTTTGGAATGCCTTCTTTCAGAAGGTGTGCCTCCCACTTGTGCTTTCATTCTACCTTTTGACATAGAGTGGGACAGTCTGGAAGGGTGAGCTATATATCCCAAGGTGATGCTAGCACAGCCTTGGTGTTTCCTTCTCCGATTTGGCAATCTTTAGAACAAAAGGCATTTGATAAATACTGTATTATTAACAAGTAATGATCAACTCTTTATATTACCAACCTTGTCTTTTGATTTTATATTTTATTCCCTGACATCCTCCTAAAGTTGCAGCCCCAAACCCAGGAAAGTGTCTGTCATTCACAAACTCGACATTCACCTTCACCACCTGTAGGATACTGCATCCTTCTGACATCACTCAGGTCACCCCCAGGTAAGAATCTGGGCATCCTGGGGCTTCACTGCTTCTCATGCGTGGTTCCATCCAGTTTTGTTTACTCGCATTCACATTTGTTCTCAGAGTTTTAACAAATGTTAGCTGATAATTTGTCTTTAAACTATTTTCCTCATGCACTTTCTCATTTGGTCTTTGAAGTAGGCAGGCAAGTATATATTATAGACATGACGAAACTGAGCCATCGAATGGTCAGGTAATTGAACCGCAGAGCAGTAGTCAATGACCAACCTGGGGCTGAAACACCTATTCCAACACTTGTTCCAGGGGGTTAATTAAGCCACACTGCTGCCGTTTCTATCCAGCCAATTCTCAAAGGCACCTAAGAAAGCTTCCGATGATAGCTATTAAAACTACAGGGGTAATGTTAACTAGGAGAAAGAAGTATCAACTAATGTTAAAATAGAGAGATGAGTAAGTTTAGTATACGAATTGTACCAAAGCCTATGTGCTTGCTAACATAGGCCATTTACTTGAATCTTAACTCCTAACTTCCATTTTGAGAAGGAAGAAGATTATGATTCACAGACTACAAGATTCTAACAAACTGTTTTTTAGGAGAGCATTTGGAGGGCTAGCGAGTGAAGCTCTCAATGAAGTCTGGAATGAACAGGCATGCCTGCCTGTCCCACGCTGGTCTGACAAAGTGCTGTATGAAATTGGTTCCTGAGAGACTCTCCATTCAGGCCGATAGCATCATGCTCAGTGTGTGATGTGGGGAAAGGATAGGCAAATTCTACAGTCAAGTGGGAATGAAGGAGGTGGAAGACTAGGAATACATGCACTCTGCTGTGCAGTGTGTAAACTCCACCAGTCAGGTTCTTAGCTGGACGGACTTGACCAAGGAGTCAGACTTGTGTGAATTTTTCCCTTTTTATACATTTGGTATTCTAGAAAATTTCTTATCCTCCATTTACATTTTGTTCATTAGCCTGATACATCTTAATATGTTGAGTATTTTGTATTGAAGTAAGTTGTCTGAAATGCTGATAGCATTTGCCCTGGGGTGGGGTGGCGGGGAGAACTGGCCAAAGAAGCACTGCCTCTTCATTCCATATTACCTTCTTTCAGGTGCCTGTCCCTGCACAAACTCGGCCTTTGCCTTCAACTGGTGCGGTCCGATAGTTCCTATTTTGTGTGCTTCACTGCCTTCTCCCCTCTCCCATTTAACTGCATAGGAGAAAGAGATTCTTATAGCTGTCAACGGTTTTAACTTTAGTTTTGTTTTCGTTTTTTAATTTCCCAGAAACACATGTTCTAAGTCAAGGTTGAGAGCAGTTCATTCCATGGGAGCTTCATATGACTATTATTTGGAGTTAGCATTTCTTGAGAAAATGGAAATTTTAACATGTGGAGGTTATTTATTTTTCAGAAGTAGAAAGTTGAAAGGTTAAGAAGTTAATTGCTCTTTAGAGCAACCTCTTAGGTTTAGCAAATGCTGGATTTTCCAAAAACTTGAAGGATTAGTAATCAGTGCTTCATTACCTTTGGGTGTAGTTCTTTTTTTTTTTAATTATTGATATATTAATCAAAATTCTAATGATCCATTTTAGTATTTTAGTCTGTAAATTTAAAAAATTTATATCAGAAAACGCAGATGTATACCTTCAGGTATACCTTTGCATTTAAATTTAAGAATGTTTTAGTGTTAAAATTTAAAAGTACACCAACCTTTTCATGTTCTGTTGAAAAGAAATGTATTTTAATAAGTTAGTCATTAAGCTGCATAATATAAAAAAAATGAACCAATCATTGACGTGTCATGTCGGAATTTTTATTCCTTCAATCTATTCCTCAGGGTCCAGGTACTAATCTGGTACCAAATCCCTTATGTATAACTTATAATTATGTATAATCATGTATAACTAAGGATAACTTACAATTACTTTAAGTACTTACTGACTTGGAAATTGCTTTTTATCCCTAAACTCTTTCTTCCTTTTTTGTCTGTTTCTGAAGTTCTGGGTTCCCTTCACTCTCCTGCGAAAGTCGTGGAAGCAGTTCATCGGGCACAGCAGTCCCTTCTCCTGCCCTGTCCTCCTGCAGACTCAGTACTGGGCAGTCCATCACCAACCGACGGGATTCTACTATAACTCTCAGTAGCACCATGAGTCTGGCCAAACTTCTCCAAGAGCAAGGCATCTCGGCTACAGTGTACCATAGCCCAGTTTCAGCGAGCCCCTTCCTCCAGTCTCCCCCCAAAACCCTGACTATCCCTTCCACTCCACCAAATTCACCTTCGCACTCCCCCTGCCCGTCCCCATTGCCCTTTGAATCTCGAGCACATGCCTCTGAAAATTTCTTGGCCTCCCGACCAGCTGAAACATTCCTCCAGGAGATGTATGGCCTGAGACCTTCCCGGAACCCCCCTGACGTTGGCCAGCTGAAGATGAACTTGGTGGACAGGCTCAAGAGACTGGGGATAGCCAGAGTGGTCAAGACCCCCAATGCCCAGGAAAAAGGAAGAAGCCAAGAAACAGAAATTGGTCTTCAAAAACCAGACTCTGCCGTTTATTTAAATTCGGGTAGCAATTTATTAGGAGGACTGAGGAGGAACCAGAGTCTTCCAGTCATGATGGGTAGGTATGGAACCCCAGTTTGCACATCCTCACCCAAAATGGGTGTCGTGAAGGAGGACTGAGGCTCAACAGTGACCTAACTTCATGTACGGTAGACATGCACGGGCACGCGAGGGGAAAGTATGTCGTAGGAGGGTTGGGAACGTGCAAAGGGGCAAGTGGTAGGAGGGAAACGGAGCTGGAATGAGGCCCTAACGGACCAGGTGTGGTAAATGAAATTGATCAGTGAAGGGACCGTGAGTGTTTGGAGACGGGCAAAGGCAAGTTTAATACACTCCTTCCGGTAGATTCTCTTGTCATGAAAATAGATGGTGAATAACAAGGTTCTTTAATAATGCAACATACCAGAAATCCTGAACTTGCTAACCCATTTTATTTCAGGTAAGCAAGCTGAAGCAGGGAGAACTTGGGTTAGAGAGAGAGAGAAAAGAAGAGTTTGTTGCTTAAAGCCATGGGTTAAACTCCATGTGTTACTGAGACACGGTGGTCAGAAGGTGATGGTTTCCCCTGTGGGTGTCCCTTCTCTCTACAGGTATGTTACAGCATTAGCAAAGCAAGAACTCTTACCTTTTTGCACAAGATCAGAAGTGGAAACTCCCCTTTTCTTAGGTTTTCAGGCCTTTGAGCCACCGGGAGCATAAATACCACCCAAATTCCTTTTGTATTTGCAATGAATGAAGACATCTGGCTGTTTTTTAAATTTGTATTTTTACGCAGCCTGCGCACACGCACAAACACAACATGGGTGGGCAGTGGGCCTGAAAGAGGCCTACTTGAAGCAAGAAACGGGGGTTCCGGTGGAACCAACGAAACTCCTTTCCAGAGTACTTCCTTTGGTAAGCACAGTGACCAAGAAATATGAACCTAATCAAAGGGCATTCAAATATCCTTGGAGGCTGCCAGGAATTAAGCAGAAGTGCAATCAATAGGAATTAGGGGATGTTGTCTATTATATAAAACTTTTATATGGAACATTGATTGCAATTAAATATTTTCCAAAGTATGCTATGCATATTTTTAATGAACAATGACATGTATTTGCATAAAAATTCTCAGGCACATTAAATTATAAACTTAAGTCAATCCCTGGTGCTTCCTTTGAGATCATATGTTGTTTTGTTCTTAATGTGATCAAATGTGCGCACACCTGTCTGGTACTAGACAGCAGTAGAATTAGAGAATGAACTGCTTAAAGGGAGAGTCAAAGCATTTGTGTTTTCTCTGGGCTCCCCCCACCACCCTTTTTTTTCCTCTTTTAATTTAAACTGAAATGGCCGGTGAGCCTTTTGGGGTAAGCTTCAGCAGTCATCAGGGTGACGCAGGCTGTGAGCTGATCGAGGTCTCAGCAGCTTCAATGAGTCAGGGCCGTTCTGGAGCGAATGACAGGCGGGATGGAGAGAAGTGAAGAGGGACTGATTCTAATTGTTTCTCAGAAGAGGGATGAGCCTATTTATTTGGGTGCTTAATATGCAAATGTGCTGAAAGACAAGTGGCTGGACCCAGAAGGATCTTGCTCCTGCCTGTTCCCAGGCCACAGGGAGGGCCTTCCTTCCGCTTGCCTTTCTTCCCCAATAGCAGTGTGCTCAGAAGGGTAGGAAGACCAACATCCAGGAGGGTAAGAATGCGGGAGAGTTCTCTACCCTTTTTATAGCTTGTTGATAAAATTGTTCTAACTTCCCCCAAACTGAAACTGTGAGGTCTTCTTCACCCCTTTCTCCTCTGTCCATTCAGCCAGCTGAAGTCCGCAGAGCGGACGGACGCACAGAAAGGGGCTCTGCAGCCCAAGTGACTCTCGGGTCTCCCCGCCCGGCGGGCATTACGCTGGAGGGCCTGCTGGGCCGATTTCCGAGATACTCCAGTTCACTCCTTAATAGCAGCGTGGGAGCTTGTCTTTCGTGAGGAAACTAGCCAGTTGGTAAAGCTTTTTATTCTCTCAAAAAACTAGTCTTCTGTTGCCTGAGCATTTCATCAGCTCCCAAGAAACATCAAGCAGAGGAAGAATCAAGGCCCAGAGAGTAGTACAAAGTACCAAATGATCAGATTTATATATAGATTATAAATAGCTGTAAATTGAGCTAGACTTTTATAGTGCTCTGTATTGAATTATATTTAATACATTTTAAAGAACTGATATATAAACAACCAGATCATTACTTTTTTTCCAGGGGGGGCGGGCACGGTTAAAAAGCCCTGGTGGCCCAGTTGGCTAAGCACGTGCCTGCTCACCCAGACGCCTGTTGATGGTGCCTGGCAGTCTGCTGCTATGGAGCTTGCCACCGTGGAAGTCCCGTGGGGCAATTCTGTGCTGCCAGTAGGGTCCCTATGAGTCTGCTGAACTGGGGGCCGGTGTCTAGGAAAATTAGCCAAATCAGCACATCTGTTTAAAGGAACCAGAATTAGGTTTTTGAAAAGGAGGATGATGATGTTCCACCAAAAAACAATAATTTTAGACCTGTGTGTGCTGGTTTCTAGGAACAAAATCTTTGTCCAGTAGTAGGTTTTGCTGCATTTGGCATTTTCAGCAAAAAATTCGTGTTGAGTGCAGCCTGGAAATCTCTACTGTGATGGAATTGTGGGCAGAGCCCTAGGGAAAGACTGAGTCGGCAGCTAGTTTTTCCTCAGCTTACCTCTGACCCTTGGGCACCACTCTCGTTTCAGTTTCTCTGTAACATCAACTACCGTGTACACTCGAGTATAAGCTGACCCGAATATCAGCTGAGGCACCTAACTTTACCACAAAAACTGCATTAAAAATGTGCTGAAAAACTCGGTGTACATACGGTACGTGCTTTCTTAACACCATAGGAAACCTCAGTTGCTTTTCCCTCCAAAAATGTTTTCCGTGACTATTACCTCAGGTACTGCAGAGTTACTCTTTCAAATAGGAATATCTCTATGAGCTCAGAACGAAGGGTTTTCACCTAAGAGAAATCATTTTACAACATTGGTGATCCCAAATCATGTAAATAGCCTTAAATAAAAATGAAGGAACATTGTTACAGTCATTTTTTAAATGTTTTGTGCGATATGTCTTTCCTTTGACATACAGCACAGACTTTGGCAAGGGAAGGAAGGAAGCTAGAAGCTGCTCATCGGAGCCAATTGTCAGTATTCAAAGCTTGTTTCTTGCAACCACGAGAACTCGTGATTATTGCTTGTTAGTTATTAACGTTGGTGGCATCTGGAGCTCGCCGTGCTGGTGTTTAATGATCACTTCTCTGATGGCAGATGGGTGCAGGCCACCGCTCCACCAGCAACACAGCCCCCAAAACACACTGCCACAGAGTTCTTTCAGACTCCCTGACCCTGAGTAGGGTTTCTGAGACGGTAGATCTCTGCAGGAGTAGACAGCCTCATCTTTCTCCCATGGAGCGGCTGGTGGGTTTGACCCACCAATCATGTGGGCAGTCTCCCAACACCTCTACAGACAAAACAATAGCAGCAAAATGGCGGACACAGATTGGTTGCTTAAGGAGCACAGCCACCCAGGAGTGGGCATCACTGCCGTCTGCCTGAGGCCAGAGAAACAGGATGTATTATTTGGTACCTGGGACTTTCAACTTTATCAAACAACTCTTTGTGCACCTACTTTTGCTTTATCAAATGTAAATCGGATAATAAACGTTAACATCTTCTTAAATTTTCACTGTCTTGTCTGCTTTTGTCTTTGGACTCTGCACCAAGCTCACGCCATTAAGCCCATTCTGACCCATACGGAGCAGATCGGACAGGGTAGAACTGCCCCTCTGAGTTCCTGGACGACAACTCTTCGTGGCAGTAGAAAGCCCCATCTTTCTTTTGCAGAGGGGCTGGTGGTTTTGAACTGCTCACTTTGTAGGTCGCAGCCCAATTCGTAACCATAACACCACTCCGGCTCTCAGCAGCAGGTTTCCCACTGTGCTGCTTCTGCTGTCGGAAACAGCCTCCATTTGTCAAACTCACACAAGCCAACAGACGTCATTCAGAAGTGAGCTGTCTCTATATCATATTGTTTCCTTAGAAAGTGACACCACTGAAAAAGAAGGTTTAAGTCACCGATGCACATCTTAAGTTTGAGACCAGGAAGTAGGAAGCATTTCTTAGAGCCCACAACGTACTGTTGACACTCTTATTGAGAAAGTTTCCAGTAAACTAAATTTGAAACTTGTTAACTAAAAAAAACACTCCTTTGACAGTTTTTTTTGTATCTCTCACAATTGAATTGCCTTAAAAAACCCTCAGAATTATGAATACTTTGGGGGAATAAGCCACATGTGAACTGTATTCTTTGCTATGGACGTCAGTGATATTTAAGCCCAAAACATTCCGATGAGGTTAAAGATTGGGATTGAGCATGTTGCTGATATCCGTCTGTTTCCCTTGAGTTAGAGTTAAGGTAATACCAGTATCTAGAATATGTGAATATATGTGTATGCAGGGAGAGCAGAACAGTGTAGACTAGGTTGTTCTGGACATTCCTTGGCTTTAAATATTTCCTCTATTGATTCCTAACTTTTTTCTAGCGCAAACTCCCTTTGAGCTTCAGACACCTATAATAAACCATCAGGCACCACCACTTGGCTATCTCCCGGATATCTCAGATTCACCATGTTCAGAACTATCTCATGATCTGTTCTGCGTCTGCGTATCTCCCAGGCTTCCCGCATCTCGATAAACGGCACCATCCAATCAACTGCTTCAACGAGAAACCCAGGAGCCATCGTTTTCACTCCTTTCCCCCTGACATCCAATCCGTCCCCAAGTATTATGCTTCCTCTTCCCCATCCCCACTGCAGCTTCAGCTGAGGCCACCCTTGTCTCGTCTGAACCACTGCCACAGATGGCTGAGTGGTTGCCCGGCCTCCTAGCTTGGCCTTCCTAATGGCTTCTGGGCCTCGCAGTCAACACGACCTACTCTGCAGGTCTCTAATCAGGTCTATTCCCTGCTTAAAACTTGTCTGGCTCATTAGCTGAGAAGAAAATGCCCAGCTGTAAATTCCCACTGCAACTGAAGAGTCCCTTAAGATAAGATCCAGGTGCCTTTATTGAACGCACCCATCTCTAAGACAGGAACTTCACAGCAGGGCCTGGTGCACAGCAGACAATGAATGAATGAGCAGATGGCTTTGATAACTGTTTTTGAGCTAGTGGCCCACTCTTGGGCCAGGAGATCAAGCTAGTTAAGTGCAATGAGGTTTAATGGGGGCAGGGGTAGGGAGTGGGGGAACAGACAAGAACAAGTCAGAAGTGTCTTACTACATAACATGTTTAAGGTTTGAAATGTATTAAGCTATAGTTCTTACAATTAGTTGTATAGTAAACTACAAATGGAAGCCACTTGTCTGTAGTAGACTAGATTGACGACGAGATAGCTGCTGTCCCCTCCAATCCATGGAGACCTGTGTACACCAGAATGAACCTTTGCTTAGTTCTGCATCATCCTCACAAATCCATTGTGGCTGTAATGTCAACCCATCTTACCCGGGATCTCCCTCCTTCGCCCTGGCCCCCACTTCCCCAAACACGATGCCCTCCTTCAACGACCTGCCCTTCCTTCATGATGATGTATCAGAGAAGCGAGCGATTTAAACAATGTTCTGTTGGAATCCGTAAGGTTTTCACTGGAAATACGTCCAGGGGGTTTTGTTTGTTTTTTCCTAGTCTAGAAACAACGGAAAGCTGTCCCGCGGGCAATCCTGCCAGTGCATGCCCGTACTGGTGCCACACCTTCCAGCAGCACAGCACGCAAGCCTCCCCCGCATGACAAACGCGGCAGAAGCGATGCCAAGTTGTTGTTACTGTTGTTTTCCTCGACACTGAGAGAAAGCAACATTGGGGGGCGGGATTTGATGTCCTTAGGGCCGGAAGAAGCCACCCCTGTGCAGGAGAGCTTCAACTTCACAGATTTCAAAGCCATTTTCAGTTCAAGGGGGCAGGTGCCCACTGCAGACGTTCAGGTTCTTGTGAGCAAATGGCACAGACGTTCAAAATCTGTTACCGATTCTGTTTGGCAATTACTGCCACAGACCAATTATACTTCCGAGTGCTATCTCATTCTATTTCCTCCGGAAGTGCGTCTATCGCTTGTTTTGCCTGGTGGCGGGTGGTGACGTAGAAAGCAGAGTCGCGGCTGTGAATTCCTGGCTGGTTGAGGGTGGTCACAGTCCGGGCCTCGGAGGAGGGTTTCTTCACTGGGCGCTACTCCAAGAGCTCGGAGCCAATGAGGTTCTGCCATTCTGTTTCCACAGCAGTGAAATAAACAAGCCTTTGCCAGCCACCTCCCAAGAACAAGCCAACCTCACGCTCCAGGCCCAAGTCTGGGGAGTCTGAAGGCAGGGAGCGGCGGTCTGTAGCGTGGCTGTGGCCGCAGGATTGAGACTCGGCCGGACTGTCTTTCGAACCGGGAACTCCCGGTCAAGGCCGTTGAGCCTTTCGGAAGCCTTTGATTGGATGCACTGGGAGGCGGCCGCCGGGCTTCCCCATCGGGAATAATTTTCCGTTTTGGCTTTTCAATCAACTGGAATAGCCACTCGAGGCTGAAATTCTGGAACCTCTGGATCTGACCTACTCTGATTTCAGAATAACCGTGTGGGTGCCTTTAAAACTTTTGACTTGAGGAGGCGGTGCATGGGAAAAAACAAACTGGGGGGCAGTTCCAGGTAAGCTCTGTGGAAGGGGTGTTTTATATCATATTGTTTCCCGCTGGTTCTTCATACTAACGGCCAACTCTCAGAAAACTCAGCTGGCTCACTGCTGACTGCCCTGTCACCAATTCGTACATTTTGGCGGCTGACTTTCAGGTAAAATCATTTCAGAGGAATTCGGGAAAGGAAAAGAGGAGGAAGAAAGAAACCGTAAAACAAAAACATTCTTAGAGCCGTGTGTGTGTGTGTGTGTGTGTGTGTGTGTGTGTGTGTGTGTGTACGTGTGTTATAGAGTTGCTGTAAGTCCAAACTGATAACACATAACAACTATATATCATTATATATATGGATTTGTTTATATGTTACCATGGCTTCAGTTTGGCACAGAGCTGCTTCCTAGGGTGTCCCAGGCTGTACATATTTAGGGAGGGAGACTGCCTCATCTTTCTCCCACTGAGCCGCTGGGAGGTTCAAACCACCAAGGTTTCAGTTAGCAACCCAATGCTTAAACCACAGCACCACTAGGGCTCTGGTTTGGGGTTTGTTTGTTTATTCAATTATGTAAGTTTTCTAAATTAGATATAGAATTCCTATGAATCAATCCTACACAATTCTGTAAATTGGTGTAAAGATCACCTAATCTTTTAAAGAATTTATACAAATAAGAGCACATTTTACATCTATTCATAGACCATTCTACATCCTTAGAACATTTCTGGAAGGGCAGCCCACAGCAGCTGTTCAGAGTGGTTTCCTCTTGGAAGGCTAATGTTTAGCTGGTGTGCACGGCTATTGAAATATGGAGATTCTGCTGTTCCGGTTGGTAAATGACCGTTGTCCACATCCCTCCAAACGTCCTCCCTGCAGCCTTGTTTGCCCCACGCCCTGGGACTCGCAGACCTGTCTCATGATTCCCAACTCTGTTCTCAAGTGCTCTGTCCGTTACACTTATTCATAAAGTTACAGTTATTCGTAAAGTTACACTTATTTGTAAAGTCCAGATAATAATCGACTGTGTACTGTGGAACAGGCTCACAGTAAGCACTCAATGATAGTAAAGTTTACACTGCTTTTGAGTCAAGTCTGCTGGGTGGCAAGAGCGGAGGTGTTACCCTTCCCCACCCCTCCCCAGCCCCAAGCAAGACCTGCAGCAGATCAACATCGCCTGCGGACTCCACATGGAGACGCTGGGCCTTCAGCTTTCATCCTCTTGTTCTTTCCCCGTTTTAGCAAGATCCTGATCCAGCAGCCCAGACTGCCCATGACCTTGAATCATGTATCCCAATCCTCTGATCTACTGCACCTGCTGGGACCCCTGGAACCTGGGACCACGGAAGCTAATCAAGACCCCTCGGCCACCACACAAAATCTCTAAAGGGAAGCCCAAGTAAGGACTCGCTGGGGTAGGTGAAGCCCTTCAAGGGGCTTGAGTTCCACCTGCAGCCTTTCTTCTCTCACAGGTGGGGGGGGGGGCTTGACCTCAAGACGCCCTGGGACAGAGAGCAAGTGCCCAGGCCTTGGGCCTGAGGTTCCCTAGGACTGTCCAGGTTGGAAACATTTCTGTGTCCAGACCACACATGAGGATAAGTTAAAGTTAATGCTCACATGGGTTTAAGCATGTCTCTGTCATCTGTGGTTGGCTGCAGACGAGTTTTCTCTTGTCTTAATCTTATGAGGGTGCCTTCAAAAATAAGGTCCAACCAAAATAGTGACTTCTGAGGGAATCGATTGGGCCAAATAAATTCAAGTAAGAGAGGTCAGTTCAGAAGGGTATGGTGACTGTGTGAGAGGATTCCCAAGGGGTAATGTTGATAGATTTTCTTGACGGTATAGCCGATCATGAGCAGTTGGTAGGAAGAATTTTAATAAATGGAATACTGCATTGAAAAGAAAAAGGCCAGGACAGATGCCTCTGTGTGTCTGGGTTGACTAGAGAAAGAAATACAGAGGCCCTCAGATACGTGTAGAAGAGTTTCATATACAAGAGCAATTGTACATTAAGAACACATCCCAGCCCAGGCCAGATCAAGTCCATAAGTCCGATATTAGCCCATTTGTCTGATACCAACTATAAAGTCCTCTTCAGACTCCGAAAACATATGCAATGACGCCAAATGCAGGAAGACCACAGGCTAGAGGGTGTAAAATCTTGTGAATCCGGTGGTGGTAGAAGCATCTCAGCTCTGGCCGGGGTCTCCACATGGTTCCTCCAGTTCCCAAGGCAAAAGGTCTATCAGCATAGTGCCATGTGTCTTGTCAATAGAGTGTCTCTCAGGGAGTGAGCAGAGAGAGTCTCCCACCTCCAAGGAGGAAGAATAGGGATTCCCCGAATCCTCAGGGGAAGGCCATGCCCATACAGGGACCTCATTGGCTATGACCCGAATGACAGACTAGACTGCACCCCTTTGTTCTTCATCCTCTCAAGTCCCAAGTTGATACCAGATTATGGAACGACCACACTGACGATGCACCTGCTCATCCTGCAAAGGCAGCAAGAGCTCTCCTCTCCCCGAGGGTTTGTTGGGAAGCCTTACCCCCTCCATCCTACAGCCCCAGGCTCACTCTTTTAGACTTCCTCTTGTTCCCGAAGTTCAAAGAACAGCAAGAAGGAGCACGAATCCTTGGTGCCCGTCCAGGAGGCTGAAACTGCTACTCTGACATAGTGTCACTCTGGGGGGACAAGATTCTTTGGGAGGAAGGGCTAAAGAGAAGAGTATAGACCCAGATGACGTTTTTGTTCAATAAAGGTTTCTAGAACAAACAAACCTGTTTTGGGAGGACAGCCAGAATACTCATTGGAGGCGAGGGTGGTAAGACTTCATCTCACGTACAGTGGACATGTTCCCCGGGGAGACTGGTTCCGGGAAACAGGTCAGCACACAGAGAAAGTGCTCTCAGCAGCTGAATCGACGCACAGTGGCTGCAGCCAGGCGCTCCAGTGTCACCAGCGTGGGGCTGGCACAGGACCTGCTTCGTTCTCTGCGGCACAGCGTCGCTAGGCGTCCAGTCCCTAGCAACGACATGATGGGAGTGGCAGTACTTTCTGGTTTCCCCCATCTTTCAGTTTTTGGTACAGAATTTAGGTTCCCCTTGGGACTACAACTGTCTCAAGAATTAGAACAGTTTCTGAATTTTCATTTTTCACATCTTAATATTTATTGTTTCCCTTCCAGGCTAAGTCCTCTCGCAGCAGACTCAAAAAAACAAGATGACTGCCAACTAGCTATAAAACCCCTTATCCCAAAGTAAGTATGTTTATTTCCGTGCTGCAGAAGTGCTTGGAAGCGTGTCGATAAGGAATGTCCCTGCCTAGGTCTTCACAGCCCAGCTTGACTTCAATGAATCGCTGCCAGAGATTTCCAGAAGGCACCAAGGCTTTCCTGAACCTCAGACTCGATGTATAGATTCTGTGGCTCCCTAGTCCGGCAGCTTTCAAAGGCTTTACAAACAAGCCTCCAGCTAGATTGCCTCCCAGATGTTTCCTGTCTGGAGGCCATAGCACCTGACCCCTCAAGGGTAGAGCTTCAGGAAGCACCACTAACTTACTCTAGTGTATGTGTGTGTATGTGTGCTTAACTCACAAATTAGAATGCTTATCCACATTTTACAAGCTTAGAAGTAGAACTATTTAAGGCTTTTATGAACCTTTGCATCCCATTCACTTGGGAAACCCTTTGGAGACGCCTATTATTTGCTAAGGAGACTCTGGGTGGTACAAATGGTTCATATGCTCCGCTTCTAACGGAAAGGCCAACTCCTCATGGAGGTTCAAGTGCAAGTAGAAGTGCCTCAGAAGAAAGGTCTGGGAGTCCACTTCTGAAGAATCAGCCACTGGAAACCCACTGGATCACAGTTCTACACACAGACACGCATGCACGCACGCACGCACGCACGCACGCACGCACGGTGTGGCGTGAGTCAGAACAGACCCCAGGGCTCCTGGCAATGGCTGTGGTGATTCACTTTTATATATAGCATGCATAAAGATTTGAATGCAAAAGCAGTTTAAAATGAAATGTTCCCATCCCAATGGAATGTGTGTCTTTGTCCAGAACATTTATTTATATAGAATGCTTTATTCTCCAATGAATTGAGTGTGTGCGGTGGGTGGGTGTTTGGTAGAGAGAGAGACTTAAATCCAAGCAAAACAAAAGTGCTTCACCATCATAGGTAAGATGACTCCTGGGGCAGGAACATCTTCTAGGGCCTGAGCCTGTAGATTCTCCCACCACCAGGGTATGCGAAGAAGGTGGAGTGGGTGGTGCTCAGAGAGCAAAGGTGGGGTGGAGGGCCGGGCCAGTATGTTGCTTCTAAGCTCTGAACTTCTTGTTTTCTGGTTGTTTTCTGAGCAAACCTTCCCCTCTCGGAATGAAAATCAATTTTGGAAAACAGAGCATGAAATTACCTTATGTGAGTAAACATGGAAAGAGGGCAGTGGGACTAACCATGATAGAGCACCTACTGTGTGCAGGCATGAGCCTTTGCCCATACTTACCTCACTGAATTTTCCCAACGATCCTATGAGGAGGGGCTATTTATTTTTGCGTATTCAATGGGGGGAGCATCAAAAAGTTCATGGGATTATTCCATTGTCATATAATTCCATTTTTCCACAAACTTTAAAAATTGTCCCTTATCTCATATATGCTTGATAAGTGGCAGAACCAGAGCTTGAACTCAGCCAACGAGCCCCCAGAACCGGCATCTAATTACCACTCAAAACTACCTTGGGCAGCCGGAGAGGGTCCTGAGAAACCAGATAGAGAGAGCTCCTCCAGGCCAGACTAGAGTTCATGTTCAGACAAGCCTTTGTTGTGCTTGGGAACCACAGTGTGCTGCCGAAGGGAACCTTTGTCTTGTGAGGAAACTGAGGCACACAGGTGGTGATGAACTATTGGTAGGTGGCAGAGGCAGGATTCAAACTCAGGCTATCTGGTCCTCCAACTGAGTGGTTTCCACAATGCCCAGCTGCCTCCTAGCCTCTGGCCCCAAGGAAGAACTCAGAGGAGGTGCAGAGCTGAGGGGCCGAGCAAGGAGTGTGCTGTGGGAGAGTCTGTTTTGCACATTTTTGAGCTTGGAGGCCTCGGGGGTGGCTGAATGGGACACCGAGAAGCCAGCTGAATGCTGGGTTCTGATCTCAGGGGAACAGCCTGTGTCAACTATCAAGATGAACAGTGAGTGGGAGGGAGAGTGGCAGTGCCCTGAGTCCATCCAATGGGAGGAGGACAGGAGTAGACGATCTGTGGGGTCTTGGCACAGAGTCTGCGTTATGATCTCACCTTTCATCTTGGTGCCTAGGAAGTGGTGAACGTGTCACCTGGCTATCGCCTTGTTCGGAATCGGGAGCAGATTTCGGTCACCTTAGGGGATGAGCTGTTCGACCGAAAAAAGCCCTCAGACACGGAGATCACGAGCAAAATAGGAGCTTCCAGGTAACTTCCCC